GGAAAAACTCATTCTAGAAAAGCAGCAATTTAAATATGGGCAGCATTACATACTATGGAATATGGTGAGTGGAGTCATAAATTGAATAAAGCAACTTATATCACATTCCTGTTTCTGTTTTAAAAGAGCTTAAATGCATGATTATACATAGTAAATATCGGGGAGAATGTAAATATAAATGCACAGATTAAATGTACACACATATACACTGTGGCAACAGTGGCAGCCTCTGAGGGGTTACAGTGTGGTTCTGTTTTGTGCCGTGTTGGAGATGAAACTAGGGCCATATCCATACCAAAGTACTCTACCACTGAGATACATGCCCAGCTCATTTTGTTAACATTTTCTAATGTTACACAGTGAGTGCGAAAGTCTGAAGATGACATACCACTGTAATGAAAGGTTTGGTCCATAACGTGGAACTACTGCCAGGTGGTACAAACCTTGAAGATCTGAGGCACTCATATAAATAGGATGTACCTTCATAGGAGCCTGAAGGACCCTAGTCTCTCCTTCTGCCCCCTGATGGAGATAAAACTGCTTCCTCCCACAGGGGGCCTTACCATAAAGGGACCACTATCTTCAACCTTTACTAGAGGCTAAATCTATGGCACACTATTTATTCTTGGATTTTGACAATCCAAAATTGAAAGCTAAATAAACTATCTTTATAACCCATTTGTGCCAAATACTTCATTAGTGGCAGAAAGCTATTATGCCGTACATTGTAAAATATATTTTAAACTCTTTTTTTAAGCTTTTGTGGGCTTGTTGAAGTTGTTTGTTTGTTGTGGGTAACATGATTTACTTAAGCTTTAGGGTATTCTAAAGGCTGTTTTTTTATGGAATATCCCAGATGAGGAATGCACAAAAACCTTTACATGTTTTCTGCCTCCTTCCCTGAAACAGTTCTTTATCTTCCACTTCCTGATTTTACTCATCTCTCAACCATTCTCAAACTCCCCCAATGTCCTCCAGCATCATCAGATCTCTTCTCACACCTGCCATTTTAGGTGAGTACTCTCCTGTGTGGATGCAGCACTAGCCCTCCCTTGCAATGTACCTCTGGTTTCCCGGTGCCACTCACAAACAAAACCCCATGCCCATTTGGAGATGCAGATACAGTCTGCTCAACCATGAGTTCTTTGCCTACTCCTGCCTTCCCTAATCCCCGTCTCTGGAAACCCTGTGTTTCATACACAAGCACTGCATCTTACTAGAATCCATCTTACTTTCTTCCTAACATCCCACTACACAGTGCACTCCCGGACAGAAAGCAGAGTCTTCCGCTTTTGTATGGCCCACAGCTCCCAGTAACAAGAGAAAAGCACTAGTTAGCTCATCGTTTCTCCTGACCTTGGAAATGTACAAATACCTTTCACCCAGCAATTTCAGTTCTAAGAATTTATCCAACTGATACATGTGCATAAATTTTCAAAACCATTGTTATCAAAGTACCAACTATAGAAAGGAACCATACAAACTACAAATAATATGACTCTTAAGAAAAGATCAATTTGAATGTATATTGCTAATCAGAAAAACACAGGACATGGTCTGGAGACGCAGCTCAGTTGGTATGGTACTTTCTCAACATGCAAAGCCCTAGATTGGATCCCCAACCCCACAGAGAATCAGGTGTGATGGTGATAAGCATCTGTAATCTCTACAGGAGGAGCTAAGAGGATCAGAAGCTCAGAGGCATTCTCACCTATGAAGCAAGCTGGAGGGCAGCCTGGAATACAAATGACAAAAAGGAGTGAAAGAGGGAGGGAGGGAGGGAGGGAGAGAAGGAGGGAGAGGAGAGAAAAATAACTTAGGATATTTCTCTATACGATCCACAACAAAGAAGTTAGTGAAAAACTGGCAGAAAGAGGGTATAAAATTATTTTCTAAGTTTAGTTATTTAAACATTCAAGCCCACAATTCAGAAGAACACATAAAGTTGTTTGTTTTTAGTGAGAAGATGGAGCACAGGCCACATGCATGCAAAGCACATATTTTACTAGTAAGCTGAGTCCTCAGTTATCAGCTAACTTTTTAGAATGATCATCTCTGCTAAGTAGAATGGGAGCTGTTTACTTAGGAACATTTCTATTTTGTTCAGAAAGAGAATGAACGAGGAACTCATACAATATTTAAAGTTAATATATATATATACATACATACGTACAGTTGTATGTATGTATATATATACATATTTTAACTCACTTTTCTAACATGCCATCTATAAAACAATTTATAATATATATTTTGTTTGAAATGAGTAGTAACAGTTATTTCCAGAAGACTACAGTAAAATATTAGCAGTTTGAGGAAGGCTTTATTTGTTTGATTTAAAAAAAAAAATCCCTTCAATAAAAAAATAAGCTCCAATACTTCTTAAATTATTATAAAGGACTAGGCACTGCACTGGTCTCATAGTAACCACTCAACTTTACTACATCTTACATGAATATAAAGTCAACAGAAACATGCCTAGGAACCCTGTTTCACCACCAAAGCTAAAAATGAGACAGGAATCAACAGAGGAAGAAATTCTGAGAACCACCACAGGAGCACTGGATTCTGGTCCCTGAGGTTTTGGACCTGACATGGTACACCACAGTATTACAAACCTTGCTCCAGTGTAAACTTAGAAATGTTCTAGATTAAAGAGCCAAGGCTTCTCTGCTGAGTATGTCATAAAACTGAAGGCAACACTGCACTTCTTGTACATTACTGTGACCATCTCAGCACTGACCATGAACTCCCACTGCTTCTCTCAGACTCTGCCACTCAATCTACCAGCTCCTAGCCATTCAGTCAAACTGCTCTGTGTATTAGCTGATAGTCCCAATAGCTCTATGACGTTATCTCTGCTCTCCAGACAAAAACCGAATCATAAGATCTCAGAACCACTAAGCAGCAAGCCTAAAATTTAAATCTGGAGATTCGAATTCTTCAGTGTCATCTTACAGCACTCACCCCTCTCTGCACTTCTTTCAAGACAGAAAACATTAGCAATCTTTGGACAGTAACATTCTAACATTTTAGAAGGAGATCTGACGGTCAACAAGTCCACCAGGATCAAATGTTTATTTTTGGAAATGCTGTTGGTTCTGCCATTATTAGATAATTAGAAACTGTGAGATTTAATTTGCAAGATGTTGTGATGCTTTATGTCTGGAAAACTGTTTGCAGTAATAAACAGGAAACATAAGCAAGTTTTAAAAAATGTGTTTTAATTCTCATTCTACCACTCTTTTCTGCTGTGGAACAATCCTCTTTCACACTATGAATATGTACTACTCTCACTGGTTAATAAAAAGCTGACAGGTCAGTAGCTGGGCAGGAAGTTAGGCAGGAAAGCCAAACTGAGAATAGGAAGGAGGGCAGAATCAAGGAAGATGCCAGCCAGCTGCCAAGTAAACAGGATGTGCAGAAAATGAGGTAACAATCCATGAGCCACGCAGCAAAGCATAAATAGAAATATGGGTTAATTTACGTGTCAGAGTTAGCCAGTAACAAGCCTGAGCTACTGGCCAAGCATTTATAATTCATATTCAGCCTCTGAGTTGGTTATTTGGTCAGGGGTGGTCAGGACAGGAAACATCCATTTACACTTTTCCTCTACCTATATAATAAGGTAAAAAGGCACCAATGAAGCACTAGAGACGAGTACATAGACGAGTGACATGGTAGTCCTCTTAGTATGTGCAGATAGACTCCTGCATGTTCGCACAATTGTGAGATTCACATAGTCTTAGAAACCATCTCAGCCCTTAGGGGATGCATGACTATACATGAAGAACTGAGCACAATGAATGACTAAGACTAAAGAGTTAATATCACCTACTGTTATTACTGTAGCCTTCAGATTTTACTATCAGTACTCCCAGGATATATTACTGGTAAGTACAAATCAAATTCAAACCTCTCAGAACAAGACCCCGGAATTATAAAAACTAAAGGCAAACACTGAAAAAAGATGCTTCTTCTGAAACTGATACTAACAATGAACCCAAAATTCCACACAGTGCGAACACAATAAACACTAATGGTAAATATGGGCTAGAGAGGCGATTCAGTCAGGATAGCAGGAAGAAGTGAATCCAGTCTCAGAACCCACATAAAAGTACATGGGATAGTGGTTAGCACTTAATCCTTGCTCTATGGAGGTGGCCACAGGAAGACACCTGGGGACCCTATCCAACTGGCTAGCCAGCCAGCCTACCCTAATCAATGATTTCCAGGCCAGTGAGAGATCCAAAATCAAAGTGGACAGCACCTGAGGAATGACACTCAAGGTGGACATCTTGTCTCCATATGCACACTTACCTACATACACATATATAGACACAGAAACTAATTTGAAAGTTAAATACATCTAGCCTTAATGTATTACGGTAGTCAATTTACAAAATAAATGCTACTAATAAAACTTATTCCACATATTACCATGTGGAGTGTAATCATTTCAAAGTTTTAGAAATAAAAATCCTTGGGGCTGGGCATATAGTTTACTGGTAAAGTATTTGTCTAGTGTGCTCAAGGCCCTTCGTTTGATCTCTAGCACACACACAAAAGCTTATAAGAAAAATTAAAATCCTTAGTGTTAAACCTTTCAGACTTTGATATAACCATTTACTAATCTGTTACTAAGTTCAGGTACTTTCAGGTGGTTAGAAATGCGTCCCTCATGTTCCCAGTGTCGTATGTTCCATTGTTGGAGATGTGTGCAGTGTTAGATGTTTATTTACTCTTGGAACTTCCGGCAGAGGACACAAACTGTATCAACTCCCTGAGTCCTCACAAAGGTTCCACAGGGCCAAGACTAATATTTATGTTCACTTTTCAAACAGGGGAAACAGAGACACAAGTGTGGTTGGGTGACTTGCCGACAGGAAAGAGAAAACGGAGATAGGGGTTAAGGTGCAGACAGCAGCCCTTCAGGGTGGGGATGCTGTCCCTCTGCGGGCCTCGTGCTGACACTGTAAGCATGATAAGGAATACAGTACCCGTGGGTAGCAGGGGCTCCAGCGGGGTAAAGGCATGCTCCATAGCGAGTTATGGGTTCTGCATGGAAAAGAAAAGAAGTTCCAGGTTAAACTTTCCCAAATCCAATTCTGCGAAAGGAGCAAGCACGGGGCGGAGCAGCTTGCACTTTGGCCCGGGCACTGCGGGAGGCCGGGAAGATGCAGCTGTGGGCGGGGAAAAGTCCGGGGAAGGGGAAGGAGGACCAGGACCGAGGGCGAGCTCCCCGCCCCCGCTCCCGCTCCCGCCGCCGCCTCAGTCTCCTAGACGCGCTAGCCTCCATCCGGGCACTGGCGGCGAGGGGCGGCCTCCCTCCCTCCTTCCCTCCCTCCCGCGCCCCCGCCCCGCCGGGCCGCGCGGGCAGCCGGGCACTTACACAATGGCGGGTGGAGCCACGAGCGACGCGAGCGCGGGCCGCGGGAGTGACGGATCGGCCGCTCGGCGCTCGGCTGTGGGGCCTGGGGCGCACAGCGCGTTCCCGGGAGGAGGGCCCGTGCGCGCGCGCGCGCAGAGACCCGCCCCTTCCGGAGGGGCCCGGGGCGGTCGCCGGCGTGTCTCCTAGCGGCCGCGAAGGGTGAGCCTAGCCTGCTGCGCTCAGGTCCCTACACGGCAGAGAATTCCTGTCATCCTTCACCGACTGACTGTCACACCCTGTCCTCTGGGTCCACCTTCTTTTTCAGCTCCTGCTTCGTGCGCTTTGCGGAAACAATCTTTGGAAACATTCCAATGGAAACCCTTAAAAATGAGTCACCGCTTCGAAAGAATGCAGCCTTTTTTTTTTTTTTCTTTTTCAATATAAGCAAAGCCAAAGGGTCAAAGTCTCCTTGGCCACCACCAACCATTCCTAGGCCCGCAGGCAGGACTCAGAACTTCTGCCAGCCCTTAGGGTGGTCTCCTGTTGGCCCAGACATTACAGAGATCGATCCTTGCTTGGGCAAGGTCATCATCTTCCACTAAAGTTAACCCGAAGTGATGCGCCTCAATGTGAATTTACCCCTGACAGACATCAAAAGCACACGTTTAAGGAGCCCTTAAGACTACTAAAACACAAACTGCAGATTTGTAGAGAAGGTTGTGTTTACATGTAACACAGGATTGCTACAATACAAAAGGAACTCTAAAAAACAATAAAACAGCCAGAGGCAAACCAGTGAAATGATAACCCAGATGTATTATTGATGATAATGTAGCAAAAATAAAACAATAAGAGACAAATTTAACAAACAGATGAAATTTATCTGTCATAAAGGATATTAGTAACAATTTACAATCATTAAGCAGTTACCTTTCAGTTACTGTAAAGGGCTTTTGTGTTTTGTTTACTATAAAATGGCTGCTGTAAAAGAACAAGAAAGCATCAAATGCTGACCATTGTTTACTCTTGAATCTTCATAATCGAACCCAACTGCTAGTAAAGAATAATCAGTATCTGTTGAAAATTCATACTGGAATTTTTTTCAACACTCTTGAATGCTACCTCTCTAGCTCTTAGAACTGAACCATCCATCTACCTCAGAACAATTCTCCTTAACCTTTAATCAGCTATAATTAATTCCAACACACTTATGTATGTGTGTGTGTGAAATGAATTCATACTAGGAGGAAAACAAAAATTGTAGTATGCCATATCAGATATTCTTAAAACAACAAACCAAGGCCACAGTCCTTCATGGAATAATGTTACAGTAAATTTCACAAATATGAATGGTAGAATAATTCCAGTTGTACTATTAAATTGTTGTGCCCAGATCATGACCCCCAGAGAGACCACCAAAGACGACCATGCCGGAATGCAAAAGCAAGGTTTAATTCTGGATATCCAAAAGCAATACAAACCTAGGCAGGGACTTCGTCCAATACATCCAACGCAGTGGAGGCTGGAGGAAGTGCCTGCCTGTCTGCAAGCTCAGTTTTTAAAGGAAAAATCACAAGGTTACATCATTTAGGGGTGCTAGTATGGGTACAATTCTGATTGGCTCGCTTCTAGGGGCTTTCTAGAAATCATGGCTTAATCTTACTTCTAAGGGAGTGGTTGCCCGCCACCATTTCTCATTGGCTGCCCTCAGGTGGGGGGCATTTTTATGGTCAGTTACCCTGGAAACCAGGGAGAGGACATTCCATAGTCCAGCAGACATTACCTCGTGACTACCTTGTGACTCTGTACTTTTACACTTCTGGTTTCTGGAATCTGAACTGACTTGTTTCAGTAACTAATGGCTTATTCCTAAAAGGAGAAATCTTAGGCCTTAATTTTAGGGTGAAAGCATTTTGGTCTTATTTCTAAGATGGCTCATTTTGGTCTCACAAAATGTATTTGAATATCCTTAGAACATGGTTAAAGATGTCATGGTGGTTTAGATGAGAAATGTTCCCCATTGTCTGAAGCCTTTGACCACTTGGTGCCAGTTGTTGACACTGGGGAAGTTTAGGTACTACACCCTGGCTGCAAGAAGTCAGTCACTGGGTCTGGGCTTTGAGATCAAATGCGGTTGCCCACTTGCACTTTGCTCTCTGCATCATGCTGGTAGTTGAGATGTGACCTCACAGCTTCCTGCTTCTGCCATCACGCCTGCATACCTCCTTTCCATAATGGACTCTTATCCCTCTGGAACCATAAGCCAAAATAAACTGTTTATTCCTTAATTTACCTTGGTCATAGTATTTTATCACAGCAACAGAAAAGTAACTAAGTAGATGCTCCATGTTAAGAGAGAGAGAGAGAGAGAGAGAGAGAGAGAGAGAGAGAGAGAGAGAGATGGAATAGGTAGAAGTCAATAGGTTGAGGGAAAGATGGCGTTTTTTTCAAACACTGGGTATCATATAACATTTTAAATACTTTTCAGATTTTGGTTGACACAATAATTGCATGTATTTATGTGACTCAGTGTGACAATTCATGTACTCAATAGATAATAATCAGATCAGAGAAACTGGTATATGTTTATTTTTGTCTTAAAATCCAGCTCCATGTATACCAACCAGGTTAGCCTCAAAGTCACTATGTTGCTAACAATGACTTCATACATCTAAGTCTCCTGTTTCTTCCTCCTAAGTACTTGGATTTCAGTCATGGCTATCATATTAGGTTTATATGATTCTAGGTGTCCAGCTAGGCAAGTACTCTGCTAACTGACATACTTCCTCAGTCAGGTAATAGGTATACCTTAGTAACTCCAACATCATTTCTTTGTATTTGAAATATTGAAATACACTCCCCAAGCTCAGGCAACCATTATTAAATTCTCTCCTTTTTTGATACTAACATTTTAGCTTCTAGATAACAGTAAGAACATACACTATTTGTCTTTCTTTACCAACTGTCTTCACTTGATAGACATAATGTCCTCAAGTCTCATGCATGTTTCTGTAAATGCCATTATTTTATTATTTTTATAACTGAAGAATATTTAACTGTCTAAAGAACATTTTTATTAATTTATCACTATATCTTTGCAATTATGAATGCTAATTCAATAAACATAAGAGTGCAGTGTGTTTGATAGAGTGTTTTTCATTCTTTTTGGATAAATGCCTATGGTAGTTTATCTTCGGTTTATTTAAGGAACTGCTATTGTGTTTTCCACAGGTCTATGCTAACTTAAATTTCCGCCAACCATGCTTGTCCCCCCTTCCTGGCCCCACTTTCTACCTATCCCTGTAACTGTCCCTCTTCTCCATCTCCCCATCTCTACCATTGATAGACCCCAGACCCAGGGTACTACCTTCTCGGGTGGGCGCCCCAAGAACCCAGACTCCGGTCCAGTTGATGCAAACAACAAGAGGTTTATTGATGCGGCTGTACAGTCAGGCTCCTCTCGTCCTGAGAGCAAGAGTCGCGCCTACTGCAGCCACATGGGTACTTTTAAAGGAAAAAAACCACAAAAGCCATAAGATTACAATTCCCATACAATTTTGTTTAGATTGATTTATGTCTAGAGGCTAATTTCACAAGATCATGGCCTGATCACAGAGTGGGTACAGTCAGGTCCACATGCACATTCTTCCTAAAACCTCAAGGGGGGTTTCAGGGTGGGAGTGAAGGTGACACAAAGGTTACAGTGGTCTTTCCTGGAACACTTGCAATTATCCCAGTCACAGTTGAGGCATCTCTTAACAGAAATCTCTTTACATTGTTACATTGTGGCAGGGGTGGTTGAGTAATGGCTGAGTCAGTTTGCCCTTGGAACTAGCTTTTTCTTTTAGTTCCTCATTCTTTTGGGGCTTGGGGAGTATGAGCCTGAAGGGTTAGGGTCTTTCACCATCTTGATATCCTGTTGTGGTTTTATTTCATCTCCCTGAAGATTTATGATGTTGGGCATTATTCCTTTTACTTTTCAGGCATTCATGCATCCTCTCTTGAGACATAACTGTTCAAGTCATTGTCCCATTTTTAATTTGGATTATTTGTTGGCATAGTTGTTTCAAAAAAAAAAAAAACTGACTTGAGTCCCTTATATGTTCTAAATGTTAGTCCCTTATACAACAAATGATTTAACATCCCACCTCCAGCTCTGTGGCTGTCACTTTAGGATGTTGATTTTTTTTTTTTCTTTACTGTATCAAAACATGCTTAGCTCAGTAAAGACCCAACATTTACTTTTGCTTTTATTACTTATGCTTTCTGGATCATGCCCCCCTCCCCACAAAAAACTTTGTTTAGACCAATGTCCAAATGTTTTCCTTAGGTTGTCTTCTGGGATTTTCACTTCATTTTCATTCACTTTTATACACAGTAGAAAATAGATGTCTAGTTTCTTTCCTTTGCATATAGATACCCAGAACCTTTCATAAAAGGAGTGTACTTTTTCCAGGGTATGATTTTACTGCCTTTATTGTCATCAATTGGCTGTAAAAACATGGATTTAACCACAAAGATACCCACACAACAGACTGCTGGCAGTGGTCGAGAGACAGCCCGAACTGACCTACTCTGGTGATGGGATGGCCAAACACCCTAATTGTTGTGCTAGAAACCTCATCCAACTACTGAGGGATCTGGATGCAGAGATCCATGACTAGGCCCCGGGTGGATCTCTGGGAGTCCAATTAGCGAGAATGAGGAGGGTTTATATGAGCGAGAATTGTTGAGACCAAGGTTGGATAAAGCACAGGGACAAATAGCCAAATGAATGGAAACACATGAACTATGAACCAATGGCTGAGGGGTCCCCACTGGATCAGGCCCTCTGAATGGATGAGACAGTTGATTGGCTTGATCTGTTTGGGAGGCATCCAGGCAGTGGGACCAGATCTTGTGCTCATTGCATGAGTTGGCTGTTTGAAACCTGG